TCCCCAACCTGCAAGGTGAAATTGAAGCAAGTCAGCGTGTGCAACCCTAAAATGACATTATGTGATACGAACCCTACATAATTTTTTTTTTACATTGTTAAGTAGAGGCTAAGTTGAGGGTTAAGTAGAGGGGCCCTTTGGGACCCCTGTGTTGAGACCTCCCCATATCCCCAATCCCACCATGACTGCCAAGGCTCTGTGGGTCCATTCCCTATTTATTCTAATGGAGATCCCGATATTGTGGCAACAACATAATGGTGGTACCATAATGCTGGTTTCATCTTCCATACTGGATCTTCCAAAGGAATATACATAAAATATTCTTGGACAATGAAAACTGGAAATTTCAGTTCAGAGGAGAGCCACCTGTGATATGACAGAATTGGGCGATGTCCCAACTGGGGTCGAAGGCAACACAAAGGGCTAGCAAGGATCACACCCACATTCCACCCAAAAAAACTGCATTAAGAAAACAAAGTTGAAGTAAAAAAATCTCTAGCTTTATTGACTTAACTTTATTGTAACGAAGGCAGGCAGCTGGATCTTGTGCAAATCTGAGCAGGGTGCCCTGTCCTCTTCCTGCTGCTGAAGGTCTGGCACTGAGATAGTTAATAGTTTCAAGCCTTCTGTGACGTGGCAGTGAACATGCTCCCAATGGTGACCCGATCCGCCCCCCATCCTTCAGGGAAAAATTGTTTTATAGCATACACTCATGTGACATGATCTGTGAATGTAAGTGTGATGAATCATGGGATTCTCCCCCCTTTTCATAGACTGTTACATGCTGTGTACGCTATGAAACAACCCTCCCCAATGGAGCGGGAAGAAGGGGGCGGGTCCCCATTGGGAGCTTGTTCACTGAGGCTTCACAGCAAACAGAACTATTAAATTGATGTTAAAGGCATTTTTTTTTTTTTTTTTTTTAAACATGTCATACTTGCTCTGTGCAGCAGTTTTGCTCAGAGCAGCAACAATCCTCCTCTTCTCGGATCCCCCGCCGACACTCCTGGCCACTCCTTCCTGCCCTAGTACAAGCATCTTGCTATGGGGGCACCCAAACCGCTGCTGTGTGTCAATTCACACACAGAACCGTGCCTCAGCCCCGCCTCCTCTCTCCCCTCATTAGCTCACTGGCTGTGATTGACAGTAGCGGGAGCCAATGGCGAGTGGAAGTCCCGTGAGAGCTGAGGTTCTCATGCACATCGCTGCATCATAATGAAGCTGAGGCAAGTATTGGGGGCTGGATTTTTACCTTCATGCACAGAATGCATGAAAATAAATTTTAAAAAAACTTGAACATGTATAACCACTTCCCGACCGGCCGTTGCATATAAAACGGCCGGACGGTGGCACTGCAGGGTCGTTTATAAATGGCCTCCCCGCACGCTGCTTGTGCGCGCTCCCAATGGCCAATCAGTGATCACATGCAAAGTAGTAAGCAAGATGTCACTTGTGACATCATTGCTTACTACGTGTGAAATCTGTTAATGATCACAGAGGTCACATGGTACAAGCCTATTCACAACAGGCTTGTACCATGTGACAAGCTGTGACCAATCACAGCTCACTCAGTACTTGTCAATGAGTGCAAGAATGCACACAGAGAGAAAGAGAAATGATTGCTTTTACATCCTATATGGGTGTAAAAGCAATGTGTAAAAAAAAAAAAAAAAAAAATCATCACCCCCCCACAAGTAGTACAGTGTCACTATGGTGACACTGTACTGCTAGGGTGACAGTAAGTAAAAAAAAAAAAAATATATATATAAAAAAATAAAGTAAAGATGTAAAAAAAAGTTTAAAAATTATAATTTTTGGTTATAAACTAATTTGGATTTTTTTTTTTTTTACTAAAAAGATAAACGGAATAAATTTTGGCAAAGATTTATGATGAAATATTATTTATTTGCAAAATTTTTTTTTAAAAAATCACCTTTTTTTTCAAAATTTTTGGACTTTTTCATTTACATAGCAAAAAAAATAAAAATCCCAGCGGTGAATAAATACCACCAAAATAAAGCTGTCTCAAAAAAATGGTAAAAAATTCATTTGGGTACAGTGTTGCATGACAGCGCAATTGTCATTCAAAGCGTGATCGCACTGAAAGCTGAAAATTGCCCTGGTCAGGAAGGGGGTAAAAGTGTCCGGTCTGGAAGTGGTTAAATCCCTCAGCGCCAGAAGATCAGCAGCTGAAGAGGACAGGGCACCTGTCCTGCACTGAGGATTTCTACAGGAATTATCTGCCTGCACAATCTAGGACATACTACATTCTAGGTAAATTGGGTCACAAAAGCTGAACCAGGGATCAAAGGATTGGCACTTTATGTATCTAATGTGCATGCTACCCTCTCCACTAAGTCTTTCTGAATCAGACTGAATTAAAGCCAGTAGAAAAAAAAATGTTTTATAGTATGCATTAAGTTTAAACTTGAATATATATATATATATAATATATATATAATATATATATATATATATATATATATAATATATAAATAAAAGGTTTGTGTACCTAGCATCTGAAATCCTAGGGATGCCTTAAGAAGTTTAACTCACTTTTCCAGGTAGAGGGGGCGTCTAGGAAAGCCGTGGTCGTGTCCACCTGGCAGGCTGAAGAATGGGAAGAGCTGTCCTCTTTTCTGGGTGTTGTGTTGCTGCAATCACTCCTGGCTTCAGACATCACCTTTGTATGATCTGCAGAACAACAACAAAAACATTTGTACGCAGCTACAGGTCTTCAGGTGTATGCACTAGAAATCAGAAACGCAAAGCATTAGCTACATGTTAATAATCCTGTCAGGGTGTACTGTAAGTTACATCAAGAATCACATTCAAGTACCGGCTACAAAAGGAACTACATATTGAACATATACTCCAGTACATTAATAATGTCCTTCACTTCTTTTAGAGAAGAATGTACACAATCATTTTAGTGTTTTGTTTTTTTATCAGTGCTTTATAAAGCTTTCCTCCCCAATGATACATGTACATGGAGGCAACCAAATACGACGATGCTTCCTGTTTAGCAGTGACACACAGGGGAGATTTACTAAAGCTGGTTCATTCAGAATCTGGTGCAGCTGTGCATGGTAGCCAATCAGCTTCTAACTCAGCTTGTTCGATTAAAGTGTTACTAACCCACAACAGTACAATCAGTCTGTAGATGCAGCAAAGCGTGCTTGTTATACTCACTGTGGAACCTAAGGGATTAATCCTCTGCATTTTGTAAAAAGGCCGTTTGATCCTCTTTTCGCTGGCCCTCCTCTTGTCCAAATGTCCTCGTCTTATCTCCTGAACCGTAGCCACATGCACATGCTCAGTTTGGTGTGTATTGCTAGAGGTTTTTTGTTTTTCTTGGGAGAGTGCATGTATCAGCACAGGGGCCAATCAGCACTGTCCAGACAGAAGGTCAGGGGTTTTGCATCCTCCAAGAGCAGAAAAAAAAAAACGCTTCCTACAAGCTTTAACCAGTGCTCTGCTGAAGTCACAAGACTGCTATACACTGCTGATGAGAAAAGGTATCTAGCAGTTTATATTTACTAAAATAACTACATTTCCATGTTCTGTGTACTGTGGGAGGCCGCCAGATATAGTGAATGCGGGGCCCGGGGAGGCCGGATATAGTGAATGCGGGGCCCGGGGAGGCCGGATATAGTGAATGCGGGGCCCAAGGGGAATGGGGGCCCGGGGAGGCCGGATATAGTGAATGCGGGGCCCGGGGAGGCCGGATATAGTGAAATGCGGGGCCCGGGGAGGCCGGATATAGTGAATGCGGGGCCCGGGGAGGCCGGATATAGTGAATGCGGGGCCCGGGGAGGCCGGATATAGTGAATGCGGGGCCCGGGGAGGCCGGATATAGTGAATGCGGGGCCCGGGGTGAGGCCGGATCTAGTGAATGCGGGGTCCGGGGAGGCCAGATCTAGTGAATGCGGGGTCCGGGGAGGCCAGATCTAGTGAATGCGGGGTCCGGGGAGGCCAGATCTAGTGAATGCGGGGTCCGGGGAGGCCAGATCTAGTGAATGCGGGGTCCGGGGAGGCCAGATCTAGTGAATGCGGGGTCCGGGGAGGCCAGATCTAGTGAATGCGGGGTCCGGGGAGGCCAGATCTAGTGAATGCGGGGTCCGGGGAGGCCAGATCTAGTGAATGCAGGGCACCGGGAGGCCAGATCTAGTGAATGCAGGGTCCGGGGAGGCCAGATCTAGTGAAATGCAGGGTCCGGGGAGGCCAGATCTAGTGAATGCAGGGTCCGGGGAGGCCAGATCTAGTGAATGCAGGGTCCGGGGAGGCCAGATCTAGTGAATGCAGGGTCCGGGGAGGCCAGATCTAGTGAATGCAGGGGTCCGGGGAGGCCAGATCTAGTGAATGCAGGGTCCGGGGAGGCCAGATCTAGTGAATGCAGGGTCCGGGGAGGCCAGATCTAGTGAATGCAGGGTCCGGGGAGGCCAGATCTAGTGAATGCAGGGTCCGGGGAGGAGACCAGATCTAGTGAATGCAGGGTCCGGGGAGGCCAGATCTAGTGAATGCAGGGTCCGGGGAGGCCAGATCTAGTGAATGCAGGGTCCGGGGAGACCAGATCTAGTGAATGCAGGGTCCGGGGAGAGCCAGATCTAGTGAATGCAGGGTCCGGGGAGGCCAGATCTAGTGAATGCAGGGTCCGGGGAGGCCAGATCTAGTGAATGCAGGGTCCGGGGGAGGCCAGATCTAGTGAATGCAGGGTCCGGGGAGGCCAGATCTAGTGAATGCAGGGTCCGGGGAGGCCAGATCTAGTGAATGCAGGGTCCGGGGAGGCCAGATCTAGTGAATGCAGGGTCCGGGGAGGCCAGATCTAGTGAATGCAGGGTCCGGGGAGGCCAGATCTAGTGAATGCAGGGTCCGGGGGAGGCCAGATTCTAGTGAATGCAGGGTCCGGGGAGGCCAGATCTAGTGAATGCAGGGTCCCGGGGAGGCCAGATCTAGTGAATGCAGGGTCCGGGGAGGCCAGATCTAGTGAATGCAGGGTCCGGGGGAGACCAGATCTAGTGAATGCAGGGTCCGGGGAGACCAGATCTAGTGAATGCAGGGTCCGGGGAGGCCAGATCTAGTGAATGCAGGGTCCGGGAGGCCAGATCTAGTGAATGCAGGGTCCGGGGAGGCCAGATCTAGTGAATGCAGGGTCCGGGGAGACCAGATCTAGTGAATGCAGGGTCCGGGGAGGCCAGATCTAGTGAATGCAGGGTACCGGGGAGGCCAGATCTAGTGAATGCAGGGTCCGGGGAGGCCAGATCTAGTGAATGCAGGGTCCGGGGAGACCAGATCTAGTGAATGCAGGGTCCGGGGAGACCAGATCTAGTGAATGCAGGGTCCGGGGGAGACCAGATCTAGTGAATGCAGGGTCCGGGGAGACCAGATCTAGTGAATGCAGGGTCCGGGGAGACCAGATCTAGTGAATGCAGGGTCCGGGGAGACCAGATCTAGTGAATGCAGGGTCCGGGGAGACCAGATCTAGTGAATGCAGGGTCCGGGGAGACCAGATCTAGTGAATGCAGGGTCCGGGGAGACCAGATCTAGTGAATGCAGGGTCCGGGGAGACCAGATCTAGTGAATGCAGGGTCCGGGGAGACCAGATCTAGTGAATGCAGGGTCCGGGGAGACCAGATCTAGTGAATGCAGGGTCCGGGGAGACCAGATCTAGTGAATGCAGGGTCTGGGGTTTAGGAACACTAAGCTTTGGCAATAAAACCTGAAAAACTGATTGGTTCCTATGCAGAAGTGCACCCGATTTTTTGTACTCTCTGGCTTTAATAAAAAACTCCTGAGTCTTCCATGGTCCCCTTCTCAATGCTCTTTTGTCTGCTTACACTGATCTTGATATACTCTAGGGCAGCCTATCCTGTAACTGATCTTATTTCGGTCAATCAGGAACTATGCTGACTGCCCCAGTGCAGACTACAGAAAACCAGGGAGCACCTAAACATTTGCATATAAAAAAGAATATTGGGTAAACTAAAAGATAACTGCCATCCTCTCAGACATTCACCATAAATTCCTCAAAATGTGGTATCCAAGGGTTACTCATGCCTGCCTAGAAGACAGAGGCGAGTCACTTATCTCTGAAGGTTCATAACTGCATTCTGGATACCTGTGCTGGACATTTTTACACTAAACCCACACCAACCTCTCGCCCTTCTTTACCTATCCTCCTCCTTTTACCTTTCTTTTTCTTCCTTTGCTTTGCCCTCATTGATGTCAGGAATACTCACCTATTCCCCAACGGTCCAATGACCATTAGGCCCCTGGCCAGTGCCAGCATCTTCTTCCTGGGTACCAGTCACCCCCTGCACGTGCAGGAATCATTCATCCCAGCACATTGGCGCTGACGGAAATGTAAACAGAGCTGCATGTACACTTGGCAGAGGATTGCAAACATGTTCACTGCATGTTATATATATATATTATATATATTAGAATATTGAAAATATTTCACTGCAAAAGATACATAACATATCTTCTGCATAAAAAGTTTAATGTTCACAATTTATTTTTTCAGCTTTAGAACCGCTTTAAGGCTATTCTCTTATTTCTCTCTATGTATTACTACTGTCTTGTCCACATTTTTCTACATAGACAATGCTCATATCTTGCCAAAACACAAGCCACATTTAGAAAAAGCAACCCGTCAAAACGCTCCACAAAAATAAGATTTTTGTACGTATGTCTTTAGGAGGTTTGGACACTGAAAGCTCTCAGCACACAGCCTCGGGCCATTATGGCCTCATGTGCAGCAGCTGGGCAATAAAGCCCACTTATCTTGCTGCTGCATTACACGGTCAGCAACGTGTTAATATGCAAAGCTGCACCACTCTGCTCTTGTTTCCATTGTTAAAACAATAAAGATCAGCATGCAAAACCATGAAAGTCACTTCAAAACTAAAAAAACGACATTATAAATGAAGTGGTGTCCTTACAGAAAGTACATTGAAGTGTCCCTTTAAAAAGAAAACAATGCTGCAAAGACAGAACAGAAGTGATGAATACCTGCAGCAAACACGATACTGGTGTACACCACTGAAAAGCACTGATTCACATCTAGTAACTCACTTAGACTTTTCGTCATGAAGTTGGTGAACTCCAATGGACACAGGCTGCTGTCTGGGTACGGGGCGTCTTCAAAGTTGTGACGTGTTTTGTCAAACTGGGTGGGAGTAAAGCTCAGCTTCTGCCCCTTCAAGTTCAAGCGGGCCGGGCTAATCAGTGGACGTCTGTGAAGCATTGATCCACAGCTAGATGTGGCTGAGCCTGCCACCGATGGGGTAGGTGATGGCAGAGGCGACGAGGCATAACTTCCTGACAGCAAGGAATAATAATCTGAAAAAAAGAAATGTTTTGCAATATTATAACAAAACAAAAACAAAAAAAAAAAAAAAAAAAAAAGCAGTGTACTTCTGTCTTTCAGACCACACAATTGACTGGCCTGAACTGACATACATGGTTCAGACAAAAGAAAAACCAAAAAAAAACGGAAACACTACATGATTTGCAGTTGTGAAAGTGATGATATATTTTTTGCGGTGAAAGCAGAAGTTATGTAACATTCTTTTGGTTCCGCTGTGTGATGAGACACTGAGCTTACATGTGAGAAGCCTCTCGTCATTCACTGCTCGCAATACGGAGTCATATCAGAGCTTACTGAGCTTCAAAGAGGGCAAATTGTTGATACTGCTGTGACTGAAGTTGCCAATTTGCTGTGTCACGAGGTTATGGCGACATATACAGTTTCCAATAAAACGTCATCTGATAAACATTAACGCGGTCAGCCGACAGAAAGAAAAGGACATTGCGCAGGATTTTGACCCTGAATAAGAAAACAACTGCTGCACAAGTGACCCCAGAGCTCAATCTCAGTCTTCACAGGAGAGCTTCAAGCCATCTGCCTCAGAGGCAGACTGTACCTGTAGTTCATCCATTTGCAGATCTCTATGATAACACAACTGTGTGGGTGGAGCTCCACACAGCCGTGCAGTTCTTAACCGCCTCCCACCCGCCATATAAGGAAATGACGGGCGCAAGACGGTTCTCTCGTTCTGGGAGGACGTCATGACTGGGACACAGCGGATCACTGATCAACGGAAAGAGCAGATGATGTCGGCTGTCGTGATCAGCTGTGTCCAATCACAGCTGATTGCATGTAGATAAGGAAATTCTGGTTATCGTCATTCCTCTCATGCTGACAGCATGTGAGGAAAGGAGAGGCAGTAATCGGCATTACTCAGAGGGGTACATGTATCAAGGCACTGATGATCATCAAGGCCACTGATGATCAATGTAGCCCCATCAGTGCCACGCAGCCCGTTCCAGTGCCCGCATCAATGCCACATATCAGTGCCATATACAATATGAGCGCAGCCCGTCGGTGCCATATATGAGCGCAGCCCGTCGGTGCCATATATGAGCGCAGCCTGTCGGTGCCCATCAGTGCAGCCTCATTGGCACACATCAGTGAAGGAGAAAAATCACTTATTTACAAAATTTTAAAACAGAAACTAAGAAAAAAAACATTATCAAAAAATAAAAACCCAGAGGTGATTAAATACCACCAAAAGAAAGCTCTGTCTCAAAAAAATGATAAAAATGTCATAGGGGTACAGTGTTGCATGATCGTGCAATTGTCATTCACAGTGCGACAGTACTGAAAGCTGAAAATTGGCCTGGACAGGAAAGGGGTATAAGTGCTCAGCAGGCAAGTGGTTAAATTGCCACGGCGGTGAGAGGATCCTCATCCCATTGTTACAATGGGGGAACAGGGAGACACGGGGCTGCTGCATTAGTAACATGTTAAACCCTAAATATGTTTTTTTTTTTTTCCCTTTTAAAGTGAGAGGATCCCCTGCCCGCTGTCAAAAGGAAGGGGGGGGGGATGTGGTGGAGATTGGGGAGAGAAGAGCAGAAGCTGGAACATTATTATTTTTCAGGATTTATATAGTGCCAGCAGTTTGCGCAGCGTTGTACAAAATGAAGGCAGACATTACAATTATAATACAATTTGGTACAAGAGGAAACAGAGGGCTTAGAGCTTACAATCTAGGAACATGTTACGTCACCCTAAAGACAGGTGGAACATTAACATGTTTCAAAGGTGAATCAATGATCTTTGCCGCTCATAAATTCATTTTACAAAAGAAACATAAAAAGGTAAAGTTAAAACATAAGCCTCTCACCACTAATGATTAACACAACATATATCTTACCTGACCCTGGAGAATCCTTGTATGTGGACGCCCGAGATGCTGGACGGCTGCCACTGAACAGGTACCCAGAATCTAAAACACATAAGAGGATTACAGTAAGTTATCAATCACACTTCAGGGCGATAATTTATTCTTCCTGTTGCATTCTTTGTTCAAAGTATCATGCTTCACTGTATACTGTATATGTACTATTATACGGACTTTCCAAGAAATCCTTGTAAAAGACTATACCAGGAAGGAATATTGGTTGTTCGTTTGGCTTTCTTGCTGATCTTTTTGCCTGCACACTTTGTATCACTGACGTGGAACTTGGTCTGGGCCAATGACTCAGGTAGTAGAAAAAAAAAAAAAAGAAATGGAGCAGCATAGAATAGCAACCAACATTTTCAAAAGGGGATGAGCACTTTCTACCCACAAATAGCTCACTTGACAGGTTCCCTTGACAGAATTCTTCTGTTTGATTAAAGGAAAGAGTCATAAGAGTGTGAGAAAATTCCTCCTCCCTCCATATCGTTTTCGGTACTGGAAAGTTGCTTTAACACTTTAATCCCAAAACCAGTTCACACTGTGAAATAATAGAATATAAACAGGATGTGACACATCTAGGTGTGAGAGCAAGCAAAATGATAGAAGTTCCACCAATGTTCACATATAGCATGCTACAAAGCATCAAAAGATCATAAAGACTTCTAATAATGAAGCATATGTTATAGATACATGTACCAACAATTTACGCAGTGCTTTACATACTGTACATCAGTGGTTCTCAACCTGTGGGTCGCGACCCCTTTGGGGGTCAAACGACCCTTTCACAGGGGTCGCCAAGACCATCGGAAAACACATTTCCGATGTGTACAGAGCAGCTACTGTGTAGAAAGCAGCTGCTGTGTTGAAAGCAGCTACTGTGTTGAAAGCAGCCGTATTGAAGGTAAAACGACACATGAATTATATTTACTGGGTAAAGAATTTTATGGTTGGGGGGGGTCACCATAACATGAGGAACTGTATTAAAGGGTCGCGGCATTAGGAAGGTTGAGAACCACTGCTGTACATTAACATCAGTTTCCCCCTCAAGGAGCTCACAATCTAGGTTCCCTATCTCAAATGCATACATACTAGGGGCACACTCATACTAGATTATGGGAGGAAACCGGATTACCTGGAGGAAACTCCGGCAGGCCCAGGGAGAACATGCAAACTCCTAAAGAAAAAATTATATCCCAGACCGTAAAGCAAAAAGCAGAGTTTTGGGTTCAGTTATATCTTTAGAGTCTACATATTACTCTCAGCCAAAAGAAGCGTTTAAAGTTGAACTCCAGGGAAAGTAAAAATGCTCCCCTGCAATGGGGCTGCCCCCGAACTGCAAGGGTTAAATGCTCCTTTGGGTCTAGGACAGCCTTTCACAACCAGGGTTCCACCACAAGTTGCTAGGGGTCACCTTAGCCAGGAGCAGTTTCTCCCTCTCAGATAAGTTGCCACTGCAACTATTGATGTTAGCTATCTGTAGGAGGAGATTCTTCCCAATGACTCCAAAATGTAAGGGACATTCCCCCACAGTCTTCTTTATACCCCAGCAGTTTCAGGTCCCCAACATCAAAATTATCAGATGATTCAAAGCCCTGCAGCGCAGAGAACAGCCCACCATTGAAGTGTAGGGGAGCGTCGGCTGCTGTGGGAGCAGAGGATTGGGTAACAAAAATTGCTTTTCTGATCCCATAGACCTAAACAAGCATTTCAACCTTGCAGTACAGGGGCAGCCCTACCGCAAAGAAAGATTTTTATTTTCTCTGGAATTGGACCTTAGATTTGACTCTAAGAAGCAAACATTGTCCTTGATTTACCTAGGGCGGACATGGGAACGATGAATACATTCCAAGGGGAGGAGGTGGGTACTATAATTCCCAGGATATAGTGGGGGGGAGTGGAGGGAAAGCAGAAAGGAAATGGAGGAAAGTGAAAGCATTATTATAATACAGGATTTATATAGCGCCAACACTTTGCTCAGTGCTTTACAATATAAAAAGGAGACAATACAGCAACAATACAGTTCAATACAAGAGGGATAGGAGGGCCCTGTTCCTTGGAGCTTACAATCTAAGAGGGAGGGGCTAGTGGTACAAAAGGCAATAACTGTGGGAAATGGACTGCTAGGAGGAATAGAAGATTCCATGATTAGCTGAGGGCAGGATAGGCTTCCCTGAAGAGAGGTTTTCAGAGATCACCTAAAAGTGAACAGAGTAGGCGATAGTCTGATAAATTGGGGTAGAGAGTTCCAGAGGATGGAGGAAGCTCTGGAGAAGTCCTGGAGACAAGCATGGGAGGAGGAGACAGGGGAGCTAGAGAGCAGGAGGTCGTGCGAGGAGCGGAGAGTATGGTTTGGCTGATATTTGGAGACAAGATTGGTGAATTCAGTGAATGTTCCAAAAACGCCTTTGCACGGGCCACTGCTAATTCATGTTTGATGGCAAGTAAAAGCATCTTCACATAATCCTCCATCATATCATTTGTATAGCATACAGAGTGGAGTCAGCGCCTGTAATAAGGCTGCAAACAGGAAACTCAATCAGGAATGTACGCAGTTATCAGCCTGCCTTATAGCAGTCTCTGGATTTCCTGTACAAGGGGGATCAGATCACATACACCGCATTCCACAAGAGTCAGCTACATACCAGCCCTGGAAAGGGCCTAACAATAATGGAATTCACTAGTGAAATCAAAATAAAATCCAACCAGGAAACAGAGGAGCAACAAGAATAAACCCAACTGAGGCACTCTATATAAAAGAAAAACTAAAACGAATGGAAAAGCAGGACACTTATGTTCCTAACAAAGAAACTACCATCCCTAGTGAGAAAGCAGCTAGTATACAAGTCCACTAACCAACAGCTTCAGAAACGGTTTGGTCTTTGCCACCTACACATCGCTCCCCCTTGGGGCTAGAACTCCTGAAGGAGCCCAGTATGAGGAAGGCACTATATAGGCCCTCGTTTTCCTAACTCGTTCAAGCCTCCTCACCTATGACAAGCTATGGGAGACAGAACATGGAAGCCAAAATGCAACTGGGGCACACACAACTAGCCAAATGTAGACGGATACATGAAAGACTTTGAAGTTCTCCAATGAACCTAGGAGCCAGGAAATGGTATGAACATTCTCTATATCAGGCCTTGAAATTTCCACACGCCAGCTTGCATTGACGAGTGGAAATTATGGTGGGGGCAAGTGTGTCCCCCAGGGCCATCTTGCTGAGCAGGCTTGGAGCTCAGGCCGGATCGGTCACTCGCACTGGGAGCCGTCAGACTGCTCAATAGTTGAGCAAAGTGAAAGCAAAGGAAGGAGTGTGTCCTGTGCTCTCTGCCTCCCCTAGAGTGCAGTACCCGGCTCTGTGAGTGAAGGTAATGAACTACTGCAACTTTTTATAGGGGTGTGTGTGTGTACGTACAAGTATCTGTGTGTGTCTGTGTATGCACATGTGTGTATCTGTACATGTGTCTGCGTGTATGTACATGTATGTGTACATATGTACATATGTACGTGTGTGTGTATATATATTATATATATATATATATATATATATATATATATATATATATATATATATATATCTCTCTGTGTCTGTGTGTGTACATGTTTCTGTGTACACGTCTGTATGTAAATCTACATGTATGGGTGGTTTGGTCAGGTTCAGGATTATGTGGTTATTATGGGTGGTAGAGTATGGGGCATTTAAAAGGTACTGCTGGGTTGGATAGTAGGTAGGATATGCTTGGTAGAGTTATGGTTTTGTGAGTGAAAGATTATGGGGGGTTATGGTTGTATGCGGTACATGGTCTAAGTATGATGGAGTGTTTAAGGGGGACATTAGAGGCCCTGATGTAATGTGGGTGGACTCTGGGGACCCTGATGTAATGTGGGTAACATTTAACAGTATAATTTCATGAAATAATTTACGAGGGTGTGTTTAGAGGTGGAATTAGGGGCGAGGCAGGGTAAGGGTTGGGTGGGGCAACTGGAGGCGAGTAACTCTTAAGGCCTGGCTAGTAGCTCAGAACTTGAAATTTTAAACTCTGCTCTATATATCCTAAAGATTGAGGCATTTGGTATCAGAACATTGATAATTTACAGTGCTTGAGGCACTAGGCTGCCTACACGGGGTCAAAAATGTAAACCGAGGGTACACACACATAAAATAAGTATTGAACACGTCACCATTTTTCTCAGTAAATAGAATTCTAAAAGGTGCTATTAACATGAAACTTTAACCACGTCGGTAACAACCCATGCAATCGATACATACACAAAGAAACCAAAAACAAAAAAAGTTCAGAAATTAAAAATGTGCAATAAAATGGAATGAAACAGGGAAAAATATATTGAACACATGAAGAAAGGGAGGTACAAAAAAAGGCATGGGAAGCCAAGACACCAGCTGAAATCTATCAGTAAATAGCAATCCTGCCCTTTGTCAGAGCAAAATAATACTAGCTGGTTCAGTTCAGATCTCAACTGATGGCCTATAGAAAGGTGCCACACAAGAAGAGTACATGATGGGTAAAAGCAAAGAGCTTTCTCAAAGACCTTCACAACTTTATTGTTGCAAAACATACCGATGGCATTGGTTACAGAAGGATTTCTAAACGTCTCAATGTGCTAGTGAGCACTGTGGGGGCCATGATCCGGAAGTGGAAAGAACATAATTTCACCATAAATCGGCCACGACCAGGTGCTCCTCGCAAGATTTCTGACAGAGGAGTGAAAAGTAATTATTAGAAGAGTTGTCCAAGAGCCAAGGACCACTTTTGGAGAGCTTCAGAAACACCTGGAATTAGCAGGTACCATTGTTTCAAAGAAAACAGTAAGTAATGCACTCAACCACCATGGCTTTTAGGCATGCTCACCACACAAGACTCCATTGGTGAAGAAAAAAGCATGTGTAAGCTCATTTAAAGTTTGCTTCACATTTAGACAAGCCTGTGAAATACTGGGAGTATATAGCCTGGTCAGATGAGACCAAAATTGAACTCTTTGGATGCCATAATACACACATTTGGAGGTCACATGGCACTGCACACCACCCCAAAAACACCATACCAACAGTGAAGTTTGGAAGTGGGAACATCATGGTGTGGGGCTGTTTTTCAGGATATGGTACTGGCAAACTTAATTTCATTGAAGGAAGGATGAATGGAAAAATATACCAAGACATTCTTGGTAAAAAACTGCTGCCTGAGGGGCAAAATTACGCATTTTAAGCTCTTGGTGCCGGCGCCTCCCGGCCCTTTAAGAATTTCAGAAGTCGGGAGGCAGGAGCGGGGTTTTAGGGTCATATGGCTGCCGTGATTCCCTGTCACATGATCGGAAAAGGTCCCGATCGATAGGGGAGATCAGGACCTTTCCGGGTGTCGCGGACATATGTGCTGGGAGCGCGCAGGGTGTGCGCTCTGAGCACATATGTAATTTTTAATTGCACACAAACATGCGGACGCTCGGCGCCAAGGCCCAGAAGCCAAGAGACCGCATATGTTCCTACGATCGGCATCGAGAGGTGAAGAACACAATGGACAGCATTTTGTCTCAAGGGAAGAAAGCACATTTATAATGACATGCTCTTCCACCTGGCTGGTGTCCAGCTCTAACATTTAAGTAACGGGTGACGTATTTGACATCAGTTTGATTAGTGGCTGTTACTTAAAACAAATGTGTGTCAAGCTCTGCACTTGCAATGAATGCTCAACATTGACACAATAGGGGGAAAAAAAAGTTGAGGACTGCTAAAAGATCAGACTGTGCACAGTAATAACATTTTTACCTGTTCGGGTGAGGGATGGGATGGTTCCAAGGGAAAGAGCTCTGTTCAGACGTCCAGGCAAGGAAGACGATGAGGCTTTGCGCTGTGAGCGATTGACTTGCTGGTTCAGCAACTGCAGAAGTCCCGGTGGAGTGGATACCAATGCAGACGACAAGTCCGGAAGAACAACCCCATTATCCAAGCTTCCAAACTGAGAGGCAGGGTCACCAGAAACGTACCTGTAGAAGGAATCTTGACAGTCACATGACAAGCAAAGAACTAGAGTGGGGATAAACAATTTAAGTTTTGGAGAGAGTAAGGGTTAGAATCATTGTCGGGCGGTGGGGGGTTGGATGGGGTGTGGTTCACAGGGGGTTTATATTCTTTCCTCTAGCAAAAAAAAAAATATATATATTTTTTTTTTTAACAGGCGGTTTCAGCTTTTAAGGAGTTTTCACCTTCTAACACGCACCACTGTTAGCGTATGTGGCCATGCACACAGAAACCTTTGCAGGCATAGATAGAGGAGAGTTTAGATGCTGACTTTTTTTTTTTTTTTAAATCACGCATTTAGGAGGCGTTTTTTTTTTTTTTTTTTTCCCATCTTTTAAAGTCACAGTCCACGCAAAGCATGTTTCCTTTTCAGGCAGTCACTGGCACACTGAATTACCCATTATCTTATCTCACTCCTTGGAGTCTCCTTCCAGAAAATGAGTCCTGATTACAAGAAGAATGGCAAATTAAAACAGAATGTGACCCTCCTACAAAAGCCCCAGCAGTCTGTTGAACTCCTTTGTACAGATCTTACAGTCCCAGAGGTATGGTCAGGTAAGTGATATGGAAAGGGTTTATCAAAATCATTTGTCTCCCTCTTCAGATCCCAGGGACTATATATTTATTTATGCATTTGTTATTAATCCCTGCAAGGGAACAAAAACGGCACAAAAACCTTAATCCATTACCCCCGGTTCACATATCCGCGTTTTGCGCGGGCACGAGAGCCCATTCATTTGAATTGACTCCCGTGCCCTGTAGGGAAGAAGTCCCTGCACTTCTTTGGAAACTGCAGCCCGCACGGGAACAGAGGTTCCCAGTACGGTTGTGATTTCCAGTGTGGGCGACATGCCATTAGAATGAATGGCACCCGCCCGCGGGTCCACATTCCTCTGTGTAGGTGGTGCAGCTGCACAGATTTTTGTGCGGATCTGCAGCGGCACCACCCGCACAGATGTGAACCTAGCCTTAAAGCGGAGTTCCACTCACACCTGTCAAAAAATAAGTCAGCAGCTACAAAAACAGCCACTTACCTGATTCTTGGTCCCACGGTGTGTCTCCTGCAGCCCGTTTCACCAGCCGTCCTATATTCCAGAGGGTCAGGCATCTTCAGTGTGGGCACCCAGCTGTGAATAGCTTGCGGCTTCACAGCCGGGTACCCACTGAGCATGCGCGAGTAGCACTACGCTTCATGAATGGTCCTGTAGTCTTTTGGGACCTGTCACGTGTCCCAACAGACTACAGGGAGGGAGGTAGGACACCTTCCGCTTCCAATCACCTAGGCGATCGGACCGGAAGTGGGAGCGGGTTCCTGTCAAATTCGGGTACCCGCTGCCCCCCGCCCCCCAAAGGTGCCAATCCTTAATGGGGAGCAGTCCTTAAAGCGGAACTTCCCCTTTTGGGTGGAACTCCACTTTAAGGACAGAGGGTAAAAAAAATTTTAAAGCCTGAACACAATTTTGCAACTTTGACATGTGTTCTTAAAAACGTACATATGATCACAACTACTTTGTGTATCCAGGTAGGTTATGCCTTTTTTTTTCAGGACAAATTGGGACTTCGTTTGGTGGTAAATGGTAACACATCTCCCGATTTATTTTATTAAAGAAAAACATTAAAATTTTGCTGTATATATTGCTATTACCATAAATTACCAAAGAACAACCCAAAATAAATTCTGCTCTTGATGATCACTGCAGTACCACATGTGTATGTTATTGGTTTGTAGTACGGCCCAGAAACAGTGGTGTGCATTTTGCGGTTTTATGCTACCTAAGAGATACTGACACTAAATTTACATTTTTTTTCTTTAATTCTAACCAAAATATACTAACCCTGACCTTTGACCCTTACCCCTAACGCTAACCCTGGCAGTGACCTAGATCAGTGGTCGGCAAGCCGCGGCTCGCGAGCCACATGCGGCTCTTTACACGCTTTAATGCGGCTCTTGTGTGCTGGGCGCCCGCTCCCCTACCTCCTCTCGGGCGGCAGGGACTCTGCAGCGTGATCCAAAACAAAAAAAAAAAAACAGCCAGGGCAGCGCGCTCAAATGCAATGATTGGCCAGTCTCGCTGCCACTCACATCCTGATAGCCAGTGATTGGCTGTCAGGATGTGTGTAGGCGGGGCAGCGTAACGAACGTGAGAGGAGCTAGGCTCCTCTCACAGTCCGCCCTGAAGACCGGAACGGCGCGGGAACACGGCGAGAGGAACGCGCGGAGCAAAGGTAAGTGAATTGACACAGGGGGGACTTGGCTTACTACTTGCTACTACTATATGAGGGATGAATTACTATAGGGGGGATGAATTACTATAGGGGGGATGAATATGGGGGATGAATTACTATATGAGGGATGAATTACTATATGGGGGATGAATATGGGGGATGAATTACTATATGGTGGATGAATATGGGGGATGAATTACTATAGGGGGGATGAATTACTATATGGGGGATGAATTACTATAGGGGGGATGAATTACTATATGAGGGATAAATTAATATATGGGGGATGAATTACTATATGGGGGATGAATTACTATGAGGGATGAATTACTATATGAGGGATGAATTACTATATGAGGGATAAATTAATATATGGGGGATGAATTACTATAGGGGGGATGAATTACTATAGGGGGGATGAATTACTATAGGGGGGATGAATTACTATGGGGGGGATGAATTACTATGGGGGATGAATTACTATAAAAACTTATTGAAACTAAAACAGTGTACCATCCTATGTATTTTCAGTTTTAAAAATGTGGCTCTCAAAATAAATTTCAATCGTGGTTTTGGCGAGATTTGGCTCAGTTAAAAAAAAAGGTTGCCCACCACTGACCTAGATCAAATCTTGATCTAGCTTTTTTTTTTTCCCCCCCCCCCCGCTTTATTTTTTAACACACTTTTGTTTTTTGTTTTTACATCATCTTCTTCTGCAAGGAGAAAAAGATACAACGTATATTTCTCTCCATTCAGAAGGTAAAGAAAACAAATGGGCGCCTATCACAGAGATCAGGGGACTGAGAACCGGGAGTCCCAGGTCCCGAGCCTTAGTATGAGACCCAGAGCTCTCGGTGACAGCCCGCTCTCTGTGCTGGGACCGCGCTCCGAGCACAAAGACAGGTATACAGATATTTGACCCCACGGATATAGACCCACTGCAGAGAGGTCGCATATCTGCATACTGTTGGCGGGAAGGGGTTAACAACAATGCAATAAGAATGACAACCTAACAAGAAAAAATAAAATGCGGAACTCAATTTGTAAACTATAATCAAACACATTTTTTTCTAAAAATCAACTTATTTGAAGAAATCCATTTAGCTTTTCTAGATTGTCACAAACTGCTTCTGCCCTATCAGAAATCGTTAGAATTCCACAAAGTTATGCTTCAGTAATTAATTGTGTACCCTCCTTTTTATACCCTCAAAAAGTTAATACCTTCCACCCTAGAAAGTGTAATGAAATATATATAAAAACCTTTTTGTGATATAATAAATTACCAAAATAAATTAAAATATCATAAATATATACCAAGAAATATAAAATATAAATAAAAATAAAGAATACAAAAACTCCCCAAATCCAAAATGTCCAATAATAAATCCAAAAATAAGTGCAAAAATAAGTCCAAAATTCCAAAATTCCAATCTTTTTTCTCCAAATACAAAAGTTGACCTCATCCTTTCAGATGAATTCCGGAAGAAACGAAACGCGTTAAAGGAGTGACGTCAAGACGCACGTACGCAGACCGGAAGTGTCACCGCGGCCATTTTTAAGGTTATCGCCACATGGTGGAGGAAATGTTTGGTGGAAACAGATAGAAACCATGTTTGGAGCCGATTATCTGGTTTTAATATGTGCGTTACTAATAAATGTTATCCCTATGCTTTGAATATTGCTCCTAAGACCATTTTATCTTTCTGAGGACCTTGGAAAAATATTCTTAAAGAAGAATTTGGAGGATTACTGATCCATAATGTTTGTAGAGCTCTCATAATACTCACAGAGGTCAACTTTCGTATTTGGAGAAAAAAAGATTGGAATTTTGGACACTGGTTTTGGACTTATTTTTGGATTTATTATTGGACATTTTGGATTTGGGGAATTTTTGTATTCTTTATTTTTTATATTTCTTGGTATATATTTATGATTTTTTAAATTTAATTTATTTTGGTCATTTATTATATCACAAAAAGGTTTCATATATATTGCTTCAGTAATGGTCAGGAATTTGCACACTTTGTAGTTATTTACAAGGAGCAAAGACGCTGTTATTCTCCCCAGCTGACAGTCTACACATTCAAAAGAGAAAACACAATACAAGCGCTCAAGTCCGTGAGCATCCCAGGGTCACAGTATCAGACACTCACTTAGGTTCATCCCTCTAAAGATCGGGGAATCTTGAGATTACTGGAAGCAAAGAAGGGGCGCACTCTCCTCGTGCATTACCGTGATAAAAAGGAGTTTATTTAAAAAAAATGACAACATGCATACTCACAAACCAAGATTCATATTTTGGCGCTATATAAATACTGTATAATAATATACAAGCTGGGAACTAATGTGTCAGCCCGAGCAACCGGTATTCTAACAGCAAGGTGTGTTAATGCGTTTCGGGAGATGTTCTCCCTTCCTCAGGAGCTGAAGCAACTGTGCAGAGAGTAAACTTATATAGAGGAATAAGATAAAATGGGAGACCACTTGAGCAGATCATGTTACATAGTTAGTCTGGCTGAAAAAAGACAAACGTCTATCCAGTTCAACCATAGAAAAAAAAAAAAGTTATAATCCTATACCCACAGCTGATCCAGAGGAAGGCAAAAAAATGAAAAAACCCAGCAAAGCATGATCCAATTTGCTCCTGCTGGGAAAACAAAATTCCTTCCTGATCCCCGGAGAGGCAATCGGATATTCCCTGGATCAACTTTACCTATAAATGTTAGTATCCAATTATATT